GATATCCGTTTTCCTGAGGGTCGTAGAACGACGATGCTTGTCTCTAAACCTTCATCTCATACCATGACCACGAAATGGAAAGCCGTCTCATATTGATGAAACAATAAAACTTGGCCACATTTACAGAACGTGAAAAGGATTATATTCAAATTGCAATTACACGTCGTTAATTTCAAATATATATAAGTGATATTCGAAGAAGAATAAGATATTTTCATTCTTTTATTTTTTTTACTGTTTCCCTTTAGTAAATTAAATTACTTCTAAGATTCCAGTAGCATGATCGGTAAAACGCGAAACTGGCGAGTTTTTCGATCAATCCCATTTCAGAAATTGATTTCACTGGCAGCCTTGGGGAATTTATGTCTTTATACTTTCGAAGATTAAAAAAACCACTGGCGTAAAGTAGGTAAACGGAAACATTTTAATATGCGAAATAATGGAACGAGCATTTCGCTTTTATAAAGAACACGAACATGAAATTTACAAAGAAGTCGGTTTATTCCGATTTCATGTGTAAATGTAATTATAAATCGAGATACGTAAAGTATAATTTTTATTTTATTAAAAAATGACCAATCTTATATACTTATCACGGATGATAGGAAAATCTCAATATTTTGGACGAAGAAAAAAACTTTTTTAACTCGTTGGAAGAGATTTTTTTTTTTTTTTTTTTTGAAACCAAGGTAAGAAGAAAGTCCCGCATTTGATGACGACGGAGCAAAGCGGTGGAAAGGAAGGAAGAAAATTCTTGCTGTGCGGATTTTTGCCCGCTAAACTTGGCGATGATTGATGTCAAGGGCTCTCGTAAATTCTAGAACCACGTTACAAATTTCGCTCGTTATCGGGCCGTTCTCTAACAGCCGTGGAAAGCGACGTGGTTTACCATCACGTGAACAAACAGGAAGGAAAATGGCACGGATATCGTTTTGAGAGAGAAAGAGAGGGAAAAAAGATGGATAAAAAGATATATAATAGATCTGGGCAAAGGGAGAGGGTTGAAAAAAAAAATATGAATTATCATACCAATTAAAACATGGATAGATTTCCTTCCCATTTTCACAAGTTAATTGTTCCACTTTGATAAATTAATTAAACATTTTCGGAATAATCTGCGTTAAAAGGATATTCCATTCATTCGCGTAATAGTTTCATCAACAAACGCGATCGATACACTTCTATCGCTTGATATCATGAAAATTTCTGCTACTGTATAACGAAAATATATTTACTTAATCGATTAGGAGACATTAAATTTACTCGTTAATTAGGAATATCGCGGTGAAACCAATATCCATATTGTAGCAGCATATCTAAATCCTTCGTGCAATTCGTTAAAAGTTAATATTTATGCAACATCCTATATATAATATATGCACATTATCTAATTAAATATTTAATAAATGTCAATTATCACGTGTTAATAAACACGATTTAATAAGAAGTAATTAAACAACAATATATAAATTAAACAAAATTTACAAATTTAAAATTGGAAATTATATAAAAAGTATCTTTCTAAAGATTTTTTTCTTCTAAGAATTTAAAATGTTTCAGTAATCATTGAAACGATTCAGTCATGATATTAAATCAAACATCTGCCACGAGTGTTTATTAATGCAAATTGAATTTTATATTTATGATACAAAGCTTTCAACGATTTCTTGTCGATGATTATTCGATAGTCGTTCGATGATTGATCGATAAGAGAATCTTTCATTTTATCAGAACATTGCAAAGTGTTGACGTTGTGATTTTAAGATCGCATCCAATGATATTGTTTTAACGTGAAATTAGTCTGTCAGTTCCTCGCGCCTGTTGCTACGACATAGTTTCAGTTTGTGCACGGATGATATACCTGTTACTTCGAAGAGCAATCATTTAGTTGCTTTCGCCCACCATTTTGGATCAAAAAAGCAAAGATTGTTTTTTGAAGAATACGATTGAATATCGTCATACACTCTATCTCTTAATATTACATCTGATCCATATTATCTATATTTCAATTTGTTATTTTACAAATATTTTGCAAAACATATAAATAGCGTTGACATTACGGAAATCACGTGTCATTAAAATTTTATTTCATCGTTGTTCATCTCTTTACGTTTAATTTTTCTTTCTCTCTCTCTTTCGACTTTCTTTTATTTCTTTATTCTATTCGCTTAAAATTTCGACAAAAGAAAAATGGAATTCATAGACCTAAATAGAAATGAATCGATTTATACGATTCTACGTTCGAAACTTGATAATGACGTATATTTTGTCCGCGATATTTGTATCGTATCGTATCTTCTTTTTCTGTGTATCTTTAACGAATGTAAAGACCGCAGTAGTATAGTATCGAATAAGTCAGCCGTGAAGAAACGATCCTCGAGAAACAGTTCAAAGCTCTCTTCTGCTATTCTACCTTCCATATAACAATTCTGTTGAAAATTCTGTTGTGAATCTACCCATAGGTTTATCTCGCTATTATATTCCGTAAAAATGTATATCGAATGAAATGAATAATACAATGTGAAATATACAATTTATATATTGATTTTTACAAATTTATGAACTTTTGGAAAATCTAGATGATTTTTGATATTTGAATAACTTATAAATACATATACTGATTAAGAGATTTTTAAAAGCATAATAGAATAATGCGAAAAAGGTCGGGCAAATAATCTGTGACGAAGAATTTGTTTACGTTAGACTTTAATTACTTTAACGGTGCATTTTATCGATTGAGAACAAATAAAAAAGTAGACAATAATTGAATATATAGTTTTAAAAAAATTGAAAAATTTAATTTTAATATTAATATAAATATGTTGAACAACAATGTAATGTATTTTTTAACACGTAAACATCTGTATTTATTTCAATGCTTCTACATCTACCGTGGCATGCAAAACTCCTTTTGCTAATGATTTGCGAATTCCCTCGGTAATTACTTCCTACATAGAATAGAATCTTGAGAATACAATTCACAACTCCTTTTAATTAAACATTTGTCCAGAATGTTGAAAATCCGTTTGCCAGATATTACGATATTAATAGAGAGAAAATAAGATATTTTTGAAATTGTAAATTCGTACGAATTTTCATAGCTTTCTAAAGAATACACGTCCGCACAAAGAGATATCGAAAGGACAGAAGCATTAATACTGTCTTTCAGTTATATTTTACGACCTTGTTCGGATACTATATTAGCCTCTTCTTTCGGCCAAAGATTTCGCTTTTCTCCATAAAAGTCGGCTTTCTTCTCGTTTCGTATCGTACAAGAAGATACAATGTAATCTTTCACGTTATCATTTCCTATTGCACCGCATTTAGTTTTCTCCGCATTGTGAATGTAAAAGAAAAAGAAAATAAAAGACATTCAAAAGAGAAGAACAAAAAAAGTAGTTTCATAAAAACTGAATAGGAAAGATTGATGATTATTAAATTATCGAGGATGAATAGGAGAGTATTTAATCGTGTAAAATTTTACATAAATGACATTAAGAACTTTTACATACGTTGTAAATATTTTACTTATTTTATTTTAATTATAAAACCCGAATAGAGAAGATCGATGATTATTAAACTATATTAAATATTATTTAATATTAAAAACTTACGTACGTACATACGTTGTAAATATTTTATTTGTTTTTATCTATTAAATGTTCCGAAATTCCGTATAACACACGTTCAACACATAGCTACATATATACACACGCGTGTATAAATGCAACAAGAGAGAGAAAGAGAGAGAGAGGAATAAATACACGCGAGTAGTAGAATGACAGACCGAGTCAGACATGCGCCCTCAAAGTGGGAATCGCGGCAGTGAAAGAGCTCGAGAGCAAAACCCACGTTTCAGTTTGTCGCGTGTGCTGGCACGGCGCGCATATCGTTCGACCAAACTCGATAAACAATGTCACGGAGAACGTCGAACGTTTTTTCGACAAGAAGAAACGCATGCGACTCGGTCGTTTCCTCTCACGAGAACGCGTCGTCCGATGCGCCCCGTTTCACGTGAATCTCCATAAAGAGAAAAAGATGAATCCGTCGTCGAGGGGAACAGAAGGGTCAGATCGAACGACACACGAATCCCAATACCGGCAGCACCACCTTCACTTTTACCAGATTTATATCGAGAACGCTTCGGTCAATTCATTGGCGCGAAATGCCTCATCGCGAACAATAATTCATCGTCTCTGGAATTCCAACTTTGTAATTCAATCATCGTTGGAGTTGGACTTCTTCGATTAAATCGTTTGATCTACTGCCACCGGTTTCCTTATATCCGTGTTATGGTGGAGTGTGCCTGAAGTAATATCTTTTCGATCATTTACGTGGGAACAAGACAAAAGCGAATCGTAGTCGGGCCCGATACACGGAGAAGCATTGTGTTCGCGGCTCTCAATCAGCTGTTCGTGCGGTTGCATCTCAACTAGATGGATCACGTGAATGCTGTTCACTCCATGTTCTCAGACTAACAAGATCTCTCTCTCTTTCTCTATCGTTATCTCTCTCTTTCTCTCTCTCTTTCTCTCTCCATGGAAGATCTAATTTATCATGGCATTTAATATTGTTTAGTGTAAAATATTCATATATCTGATCGTTTTCGAATCGTTGTTTGCTCAAAATCGACGTTGAATGAAAAAAAAAAACAATAAAGGGGAAACTTGATGAAATTACATATCGATATAAAACTAATTTTCCTTGCTCAGAGGAATATCGTTATCTCAAAATATTGATAAATGTTAATAATATTCGCGACTGATAATTCCTTGTAACTGATAACACATTGAATCGTATCCATGAATTAACAATGAACAAACAAAACGCATGTGTTAATTATCGATGGTTGGAAGTGTAAATTAAACTGGTATTTTCGGTGTCCCTTTAATGGTCACGTATAGCATAAAGCATTGCAGCATTTGCAAACTATCGTTTAACTATATTGTTAATTGCCTCGTGGCTATTGGCAATCAAACGGTGCTCCTTAAAGCGCAATAATGACGGAATCGCCAATACCGTCGGTCAGCAACATTCAGACCTATACTCATAGCCGAAGCCAATCTCAAATGCAAACTCAAGATGACAAGAGCGAGAAAACGGAGAAGGCTGTTCTTTCGGTAATTTAACGTTATATCTTCATTATTACATTTACGGCGTACAGTTAACCGGATTAGATTCGATGATAAGTGTATTATTCCAATAATATATATTTTCCTTTTACCACGATAAATTGCAGTAATTGTATTACTGGTTTCGTATAAAACAGTTCGAACAGTAAATCGTTTTATTACGTTTATCGTGTAATAATCGTGAGTCGCGTAACAAATTGCTCGGTTTATGATCCTGGAAAGCTTAATTTCCGCTTTGCGACTAAATCGAAGCACGTTCTATGCATTGTGATCGGTGCGCTTACTTTAACGTTAAACATCGGGGAAACGGGGTTAATAGCGCGTTTTATTTCGCAGCAAATTCAAGAGATCAACAGCCAAGTGGCGCAATACCGCGATTTGCTGATAAACATCGGTCAACCACGAGACTGTCCGGAACTTCGAGAAAAAATTCGAAGATTGAGACGAAATTGCGTAGAAACGTGTAGACACACGTCCCAGCTTATACTGCCACAAGTACGAAGGTATGGCACAAACTTTTGCTAGTAGATTTTCCCTTTCTTCTTTATCTCTTTCCCGCTCTTTTTTCCAAAATATAAAAGAAAAGCAAAGAAAAACAATTTTTTCACCGTCCTTGACACGGTATCTCAAATCGTATAAAATTTTCATGGAGCAACTGCCGTATCGACAAGCCATTAAACTTGCTAATTAGGGAGCAGAGAGGAGAGGTCAGAAATTGAAGGATAAGTCAAAAGAAAATAAAAAAAAGGGAAAGGGGAAACCGAACGATTGATTAACCAGTTTATGTCAATTATTCGGAATCAACCATTAAACGAAGACATCGCGCAGAGCGAACTCGAATTGCTTCCGGTTAATGGGATTCCAATTAACACGATAAATAGATTGCTATGATAGAAGCCAGCCACCCAGCCAACGATCGTGAACATATATGTTGTTAGTTTCCTGATGCGAGATAATCAAAGATTTTCTACGACGATACTTGGAAATGCATCGTTTCCAAGAAAATCTTTAAATAAAAGTTATTGGTATCCCTACGTATCCCTGGCGTACAATTTATCGGACTTATCGTCGTCAACTTTGTTCGTCAAAATTATCAATCTTTTAACAAACGATTTTGATTGAACGATTTTTTCGAAATCGAGCCGTTCGCATTTGCACAATTACAATTATGTAATCTTATCACGTTTTGAATCGTCTTTAATTTCGTAACGATAAGGATATAAGGAGAATTATTAGTTAATTATTGTTACACCTAGTCGTTATCAAACAGAGCATCATAGAAAAATATCACCAGGATCAGATAAAGGAAAGAGTGAAATAATAGCATCACGAGAGTTTCTATTACTTTGAAGTGTGCTGCAAAGAATGTTATCGATTCTACGGAATTGGTTTTTCTAAGAAAAAAAGGTAAAGGGAAAAACGAACGATGACCGTCGACCATCGACCACTCTTTAAAGATTCTTAGACGTCACTTTTGAATTTCTTTCCATGAGTTTGTCTGTTTTAATGAAAAGTTAAATGTTTCATGAATTTCTTCCTCTTCTACTTTCTCATTAATTAATAATTAATTATATCATAATCAGATAGATAAATCATAATTGAAATTTTCTAATTATTTTTTTTTTTCACAAAATTTCCAGTGTCTGAAAAAGATCTATCCCGATCTATTTTTTTAATAAATAAAAACTCGATTGTTGACGAATTGTTAATTAAACGAAAATCGTTTTTCTCGTATTTGTAATGAGTTATTTTTATTTAGTTCAATTCTTATCTTCAAATTATCGGATATTACATATTCATTTATTTTTACATGTTATTCATTATATAATTGTTTAATTACGGTGCAGTCCTGCGTGTAAGTATACAAGACTTGCTTCTCTATTTCTCTCTCTCTCTCTCTCTCTCTCTCTCTCTCTCTCTCTCTCTCTCTCTCTTCGCTTCCAACACATCGTTGCATAATTTCTGTTACGTTTTAAACGTCAAACACACTCTAATTGTGATTTAAACGTTGCTTAAACAATCATTTCATGAAAATTAAACGCATATAATTATCGAAATATTGAATAAATTTATGTATAGATTTGAAAAAAAGAAAAGAGAAGAAATATGTACAATAATGATTAAATAAAAATCCTATTCGATATCTTTATTACAAAAACATTAATACGTACGACGAAACGCTTAAGAATATCCTGAATGTTTGATCATGCAAACAACTTTTCCAATACGTGCGTCGTAATAGAGGATCTCGTGCAACATATCTTGCAAAATCACGCGACTTCTGTATCGATTACACGAAACGCGACAGCACAGAAACATTTGTCTTTCTTTATTTTTTTTTCTTTTATAAAAATTATTATGAATCGTGAATACTATTCTTTTCCCGATTTCATTCACCTCTTTGATGAACAATTTTCCATTCAAATGCTTATATAAAAATCTATTTTAATACCAACAATCAAAACGGGTCACAAACTCTGCATAAATTATTCAATTTTAAATAATTTAATATCCTGTATAATAAATATATTCTAATTTAAATTATCATTTGTATCCATTCCTTGTTCCTTTTTGAAAATTCTGACGAATTGAAGATTATTTTTGCCAATTTTTGACGGAACACCGACAAAGAAATATAGCAAATATCAAGTTCATTCTGATAATCGTTCATTCATATTCGCTATAATTCTTGAATATGAGAAAGTTTCCGTAAGACCGCGAGGCTGGAATTGAGATAAGTAGTATAAACCGCGTGCAAGACAACTCTAACGCGAAATAATACGTATAAATGATCAACCATTGGAGAGAAAGAAATTATTTCCCTCCTTCGCCTGATTTATTAGATTTTTGCGATACTTAAAATTATGGGTCTCGAGTAGAAGTTAGCCAAGAAACACGAGGAAACCATTTGCAAAGCTGAAAAAAAGAGCTTCATAAAAGGCTATTACTATTTCTATGAAACTTCATAAATATCGTAATAAAAAAATATTTTATCCGTGTGCGTAATTACTTTTTATTTAATTTTAATTACTTTTGAAATGTGCGTGTGTATGCATTATTTATAAAAATAGTATAGACGAAAGTGTCACGCAAGAAGCTTTTCACGAAGCCAAAGTATTGTCGTTCGAGCTCTCTGGCCTCCAACGTGACGATTACAAAATTAAAAAAAGCCAAAGGAAACTTTTCCTCTCCGCCGACTTGGTTAAACCTTCGTGGTTTGTTTTACGTGTGACGCCGACGCACTTCATTATGATTCTACGATCTCGCGCTTCGTCTTTCCTTTTCACGATGAAAAAAAAGGGGGGAGAGGGGGGAAATTCCTCATTTGGCCGCAAATCGACACAAAACAGCCTCGTTACAAAATGAATTACTCGGTTTCACGACGCATTTACGAGAACGATATAAACGTTTTATATTCGAGGTAATAAAAAGGGGTCTTAAGGTAAGTCTTTAATATAACAAATTTAACTTGAATCGTGATAAAATAATTCGAAATAAATCAAAATCCTTGGATCTTATTCGAAATTTTACGTTTTATTGAATTTTATCGTGTTTCAAATTCTTATAAATGTCGATAATCACGATTTAAGATAAGAAGAGTAATTAGTTCGACATAAAACGTAGAATGAATGCGAAATTATTGGCAGGAAAGGTGGAGAGATGAAGGAATAAAAGGAAAAAGAAAGTGTAATAATTAAAGAAGGAAAAAAGTAGACGACGAAATGCCTAACGAGAAAACTTCGATGATAAAAAAGTAATAGGTCTGGGAATGGGTTTTGCTTTCAGAACTACGGATATCGGAATCCCTGTAGACAGTCCAAATTTGATGCTTCTCTTTTATGTCGCGCAATTGTTTCTGCGCGAGCTTTGCAAAAGTAAGAACCTCATCCGCATCGTGCCGATGGACATGACGGAGTATTACGGTAATTTTGACTCCTATAAATATTTTATCTTAGGAATCAAACATTTTAATTAACGAAAAATTTTGCCGCCTTATAAATTCATTTACAATAATTCTGCTACGTTAAACAACATCCGTATTTTAAATTAAAAATATCATCGAAAGAATATACGTTAAAGTATATATGTCAATTTTCTGAAGAAATCAATAGTATTCATAGTAACGATCAGCATAAATCTTTCTCTCTCTGGTTTCAGAAACTCGATCCGGCCCGTCCAACATCGGCAATGTGATCTCACAAATAGTTCTCTGTAAGCAAATCACACCAGATTTCTACGAGGAAGAATTGTGCAGTATCCAGAAAGATTCGGAAGAAATTCGTGGTTTGATCAACGAACTGCAAGAGTTTATGCCTCAATCAAGTGGCGATATAGGTACTGTCATTTTTTTCTCTTCTATCCCTTCCACCATATCTTTCCATTTCCTATCGTCTACCTCTTACAATTTTATTTCTCAACGAATCACAACTCGATGTCCTCTATATTTTGACCCGATTTTCACAAAATGATCGAATTTACATCGTTAGTGTAAAAGTTCTTGCCTCGAGTAGGATTTCTCAATTGGAGAAATTAAATTTTCGTATAAACGGTAGAAAATTAAGCCACTTTCGAATCGTACTCGATTTTCCTCGAAACATAAATTTTCCACGACGGTTAATCCGATTCGGTTTCTACTTGAACTCTTGATTATTCTATTTGCCACTCCGATATACATATATCTCCCCTTGCTTCGTTGACCTTTCTTTCTCTGGCCATCTTTCTTCCTATTCTACTACTCTCTCCCGACCTATCTATTCAACCGTCTCTAATCGGGTTACTCCAGAGGCCAAGGTCTGGATTTCAAAGGAGAACAATTCTCCCTTTCTCTCTATTCGTCTCTTTCATCGCGTCTTACCTCGTCGCGCTCGCCAGCTTCCATTGATTCTATATAAGGAACAAACGTATTACCTTCCTCCAGGATAGAGCTCGCTACTAGAGTTATCAGGCGATGGTTCACTTCTCAGCTCAGTTAGTACACGGCGACCTTAATTATCTATCGATATAATAAGCGAATTCAGATGCCATGTCCCCGTAGTCCATCGAGGAAGAGGAGGAGGGAGGAAGATAGCACGAAAATCACCACATGTACCACGATCCTCGATCCCCTAAACGTCAATTCGAAACTTCGCTTGCTTATCAGGGGAATAACGATATAGTTAGAGAGAGACAAGAGGAAGAGAGAGAGAGAGAGAGAGAGAGAGAGAGAGAGAGAGAGAGAGAGAGAGAGAGAGAGAGATGGGATATTTGACATTGAACGAGAAAGAGGTCAAGGTCGATTCGAAACACGGATTTCCTTCGCCGTGTGTTACGAACGGGAAATTCACGCTCGAGAAAGATCGCACCACTGTCTCCAAGGGAAAGTAAGAGAAATGAGTGGAATTGTTGTATTCGTAGGTAGAATTTCGAGAAAGGACAGGTCGAGTAGCGGTGTGCACATGGCGTGTCGAGAGAATTCGTCGGGGAAACGATGCAAAACGACGAGAGAGGACCGAGCTGGAAGGAAGCGAAGCGCGAATAAAAAGAGACGCACGGTTTATTCCGAAAGTAAATATATTTACTTATTTGTAGTATTTATACAAGATATTGTCGAAATAAAAACGTCGAATAATATTTTTAATAATCCTCGAAAGACGTTCGATCATTTTGGGAATTTGATCAATATGATATATGGAAACATATAAACAAGTGCATTAACGCGAAAATATATGAAAGATATGCGAGTATTTAACATTAAACAGAGCTCGGGTCAAGGATAGATGGAAACTGTTCCTGCGTTCTTCACGAGAGGAAACGAGAATCCGCTGGGCGCGGAAAAAGGGTGGGAAAATCAAAGATAAAGAGGGAAATATGTCGAATCACGAGCCGATAAAGCAATTCGAACCACGAAAGAATCTTGTGCAAACCTTGCCATGAACTAATCGTTCTTTATTCAATTTTTCTTCCCAAATCTTCTGTTTGTCGCGATAAAATTAATATGTACACGTAACGTCAACTGTGAAATGCAATTCTTGAGGTCAAGGACGAGTGGAATTCATTTTCATATTCATATTACGACTATAGATATTTGGAAAAAATATGATGTATAGTATAGTCAAAATAAAATAAAAAATATTGGTGTGGTAATATAAAATATTTCATTACAAAATTATGTAATGAAAAATTATGACGATAATTCGTTGATAAATTAATTTAAGTTACAACTGGAAAAAACCAAACTAAACTTTTTTAAATTCACGGAATATTCTTTGTTGCCAATAATCGATGATATCATTCGTGATTTTATCGTAATGATGCAAAGGATCAAACGTGATCTCAAATCTCAATGAGCATTTAGATATCGCAATTTATTGCGATCATAGCAACCATAGAGGAATTAAATCGCTTTTTCATTGAAACATCATGTGAACTTGTGCAATTTTCCGTATTATTTTATACTATGTAAAGTAAAATTATTAGATTAATAATAATATATGTTTTATGTAAGAAGCTCACATTACAATTCGTTTGACAAATCTTTTTTTTATATTTTTATTTCATATAATTATGAAATAAATTTTTAGGATATAAAAGTATAACATTTCTTATATATTTTTCCCATTAAAAATAATATATTTTGAAATAAGATAGTGAAAAAAAATTCTTTTGAAAATTACGAATAGAAAAACATTTCAATATCGATTCGTGCTATTCATTGAAAATCATATATTAAAAAAATCGATATATGACGATCAAATAAGTAATGAAAAGTTTTAGTAGAGTCGTAAAAAAAAGATTTTGTTAGATTATGTAAAGAAATTATCCATTATTACTATTTAGTACTATTTGTTTTAATTTGTTAGAAAAAGTTTATGGAGAATTTCTTAAATTAGAAGAGTATATTGACTCGAGCTTCCACTGAATAATATCACTCTTTTTACTTCTTCTTTCATTAAATAATTCCTTGGTTGAAATGCCATTGACTTGGCTGTATATTTGGTTTATAAAGCTTACCTAACTAAGAACATTTTTTTTGAATTTCATTTGCAGAAAAGTACACGGCTTTACAAAATGCGGCAAGTTGGAGTAATCGTACCAACGGTAGACGGATACACCGATGGAACCAAACTCATAATAGACCTACTAGAACTACCAGACAATCGTCCTACTTTTGCGGAGCTTTGAATCTTTTTTGTTGCGCAGCAAGAACAAATTACGTTTAATTACTAAACATATTTGCCCGCCAAATTTCTTTACAAAAAATTTTGTTGCAAAAGATTTTTATTAATTTCCTCCTGTGTTAAATTTTCTGTTTTAAATTTTAAGAATAAGTCATAAATAAAGAGAAATTCTCGCTATGTTTTGCAATCATGAAACGAAACATTCTTATAATTAGTCGATTAGATGATAAGAAACCTAATACTGAGATTTTATTTAGTTAATAATACAAACCATTTAATAATAAGTACAAACTTCTTAATATAGAAAAATATTCAAACATATTTTTATAAAGGAATTTCATTTATTGCGGAATTGTTTATAGTATAATAATAGTAAGAAATCTAACTTAAACTTACGATGCAATTTGTCTCATATCGGTAATCGATGATCGTAAAACGACTAAGATCGATTTCTTGATGAATTTTATTACATTCTCTCTTGTTCTTCGATCAGCACCATTACCATGAAATGATATTTAATATCTAAAAAAAGGAAAAGTCAATGTAAAAACAATCATTATAGATATGGTGTTATCATTTGTATTCGTATGATTATTATTTAAAATCCGAACTGTGATGAACAAGCTCAAATTTATTGCTGATCGATATAAAAATCGGAATAAAAATCGATATAAAAATCACATCGGATAATAGGGAAATAAATGCCAATTGAATTGGATGTTGATTATTTCAATAGTGGACCAACGTATCAATTGTATGCAATGAAAGTGATTTAATTAAAATCATTTCTACTATTTTAAAATTTTAATCATATTAAACTTTTAAAAAATATTCTATTGTCAAAAATCTTATATTTTTCATTATCATTATAAGATTCTTATTTATAAATTAATATGACAAAATATTTCATTTATTTATCATCTTTTATTAGCAAATTGGCGATGCGATTCTATATGCAATTTATTTTAATGTTAAATATATTATTATATGTATTATTATATGTATAAATATTAAAAACACACACATATATATATAAATTTTTATGTATATGGTTTATATATTGTTAATGAAATATTTTATTATTTGTATAAATATTGTGCAAAAAAAAAATATTTATAAAAAATACTATAATCGCTCTATTGAAAATAATTAAATATTTAAATATATGAATAGAATATTGAATTAGAACATACATATGTAAAAAAAAAAACTAAAATTCATGATGCTATAAAAAATTATATGCAAAATTGAATATTAATATTATTATTATTAATGTAATTATTCATAAGAACATTATCTATTTAATGAATCTTTGAATTTTTATTTGGCGGTGCAAAGAAAAAAAAAAAATTTTTCGTCTAATTTCTTTACCGATAAATAGTTTCATTGTACATTATATCATATGTGGAAAATAAATAAGTAAATCATTAGAAATTAAAGATTGTTTAATCTTGACAGAAAGAAAAATCTTCCAATTAATATTTATAGATACATATATATATATATATATATATATATATATGTGAAAAATAAAACAAATATTTAATATAACTTATTACTTACTTATTTAAGATATAAGATAAAAATATTGAGATCAATAAATTTTAATTATGTAAGCACTTTTCATATATATATATATATATATATATATATATATATATATTTATCGAATTTTCATTTAAATTAGTTTATATTTATTTCTCAAAGTATAATAATATACTATTGCCCTCTTGCAAAAAAATATATGGCGCGCATTTATAAAATGGTGATCAAAACTTGTAGCATGCATAAAAATAAATCTGAAATTATAATTGAAGTTAGGATTAATAATTCATTTGTTAATAATTTGTAAATATAATAATAAATTGTAAGTACAATTTCACATTAATTATTATAAATAAAATCTTAAAACTTATAAATTGCTCCCTCTAGAGATGTCGCTATTAAAATGAGAAATATATATACTTACACATCTGTGAAATAGTCATGTTATATAATGGTGGACTTGTAGTATTTCATTTCGGATTTTAATACGTGCTGTTGGAAATATATGACAATGTCTTTTAGTAAAATAATTGTAAGTAATATAATTTAATTATGAATCTTAAAATTTAAAAAAAATATAAATGAATTGAATTATCGATAATAAAATAAACTGTATAATTCAATTATTGAATGAAAACATTGAGTTTAAAAAATATTATACATATCAAATTAATAAAAAAAAACTTATATTATATTATTATTTATTAGGTGCGATCACTTTCCAGTAGTATTGCTGCTCAACAATTGGTTAAGGTATTTTTTTAAAAAATTATAAAATTATGTAACTACAAAAGAAATATATGTATGTAAATATGTATGTAAAAAATAGATATTTAATAAATTATAATTATTTTTAGAGATTTTTTAAAATATTATCTGCTAATTTCGTTTTCAATAATGAAAAATGTTATTTTATTGGTTTTTTTTTAGCCTCCGATTCAAGTATTTGGAGTAGGAGGACGATATGCTACAGCACTTTATTCAGCAGGTTCAAAACAAAAAACATTAAATAATATTGAAAAAGATCTTCTTAAATTTCAAGTATGTATAATAAATAATGTAATAAATGCTATATTTAATTTTAATTAAAATTATTAATAAAAATTTTTATTTGTTAGGATCTTATGAAGCAAGATAAAAAATTAAATGAATTTGTAAAAAATCCAGCAATAAAAAGAAAAGAAAAAGTAGAAGGACTTAAATCAATTGGAGGAAAAATTAGTCTGAAAAGTGAAACAATAAATTTATTAGCTTTATTAGCAGAAAATGGTCGACTTTCACAAATTAATAATGTAATTAATACATTTAAATTATTAATGGCTGCTACTAGAGGTGAAGTTCCTTGTGAAGTAATAACTGCAAAACCTCTTGATGCTGAAATGACATCTAAGCTTCAAACAGCTTTGAAAGGATTTTTAAGTAAAGGTCAATCTATTATGCTTAGTGCAAAAGTTGATCCTTCCATTATGGGAGGTATGATTATATCAATAGGTGATAAATATATAGATATGAGTGTTGCTAGTAAAATAAAAAAATATTCTGATATTATTGCTGAAACATTGTGATTACTTTTTATAACATTCAGTAAAATGAGCAAAGTTAAAGTATTCATATAGAGTAATTTATGAATAATGTGTATCATTAAACAATAAATTATTCCATATCTTTATTCCTATTAGAAAAGTTTGTTTTTTCTTATATTAAACCATAAATAAAAGCAATTTTTATATTTTTTTATATAATAATAATAAATAAAAATGAAATTTTTTTAATAAAATTACATAATAATAAAATAAAACTTTGAATATCATTTGGAAAATATTTTTATTTTAAATGTTAAGTACTTACAATGTTCATATATGCATTTGCAAATGAATTTAAAAGATAACTCTTAAATATTGTTACATTTTATAAAATAATATATAACATATCTGCAACAATTTCTATTAGCATTATGTTTGAATATAATCAATACATATATTGTCAAATAACAGAACTGATGACTTTATTGCCTTTCATAAAAATTTTAAATGGAATGTTGTAAATGATATTAATTATTGCACATAAAGATATATTCACATATTATTTTTCAATGTGTAATAATATATGTAAACGCGTACATACACAAAACAATAATAATAAATTATTTAAAAAATTGATTTTATAATTTTTTTGTTACAAATTTTTTTATATTTTTAAAAAATTTTCATAAAATAAATAACAATACCCAATAAAATATGCATATATCACCCAAATTACTATTTAATATTCATTGAACATTTTCTAATTTTTTGCTTAAAATTAAAACAAAATAAATTGCTCTAAAATAAGACTAGAAAATATATTATCTATTTAAAGTTTTAATTTTGTATATAAAAATGCATATATATGATTATTTTTATTCTAATTATAAAACAATTCAGTTAGATGTGCAAAAGTAAATCGAAAATACATCTGCATAAAACATAAAAAATTATGCATAAAAATTGAAGTAATATCTATAATAAATTAGTTTCTTTTCAATTGAATTCTACATTGCAACTGGAGGTACATCACTTTTAACTAAAACCCAATCTTCTTCCTCAAGTGTAGTTGATATTATAAACTCATTTGGTACAACTAAAAATAAATGTTTTTCAAGAATAATTTTATTATTCTTGCTATAGACTTAAATTTCTAATTCATATTTATTCATACCTGTTGAATGTAACATTTTCCTTCCATCAACATAATTATTTTGTTGTAAGGGTTCATTTAATTTATCTTGTAGAAGCTTTTTTCTACATTCACCTAAATCTTCTAACTTTTTTAATTCAGTACGATAACTGACATCTTCATCTCCAGATTCAGTTTCTGTATGATCACTATGTTCATTATATTCATTTTGCACATTTTTTTCTTCTGTGAAGGAATTGGAATGTATTTTACAATCTATATATGTAATTGTATCAATTGATTGAGATATATTAGAATTAGTAGTAGTAATTTGACTGCTGCTCATATACTTTGATAAATCAAAATCCAAAACATCAGCTAAAAGTTTTTCTTTATTTTCTACATCACGTTGAATTGATTCCAGATTTCTTTCAGTTTTTAATATGAATTCGTCATCAACATTAAGTGTTAATAAAGAAGAATGTGTTGTCTTTGCATCATTAGCATTTATTTTGTCTTTGAAAGCAGACAAATCACAATCAATATCAGATAAAGATGAACAATTTCCATTTCCATTTATTAATCTATTACGTGATTTTTTAATTTTTCTTTCTGGAGTAAATACAACATCTTCAAATTCTTGTTGACTAATTTTTTGGAATATTTGTCTTCTATCATTATGTTTTTCATTTTGATCGCTTTTTCTTTTAGAAACATCGTTATATTCTGTTATTCTATTACTATCTGTTATTAATGAAGAATTTAAATTAATCGATATTGCTGGTACTTCAACAGCTTCTTCTGCATTTGTAACTGAAGTTATATCAGTACCAACAGTAACCATTGGTACAATTCTAAAAAGTAATAATTTTAGATATATAATTTAAATGTTATTTATTAATACAAAATAAATTCATTTTTATTTTCTATTTAAATACTTTACCCCACAGATTGAATGATATTAGTTGGATTAATTTTGTGAAAAGGAATTGCAGGCACTATTGTGCTTTCCATTAATTTTGAAGTCAATTCTAATATACCATTTGTAACTGGTTTACTAATTTCAGCAAATGATGATAATGAATCTAATGTATCTTTTACTTCTAAAAATAATAATTAATAAAAATTAATTTTTAAAATTTTAATAACACATTAAAGAAATATTTAATCAAAATCTACCTGATGAAAACATATTAGTTTCAGGATAATATGCAATACGTATTATGTTCCTTTCTCCTTCCAATATAAATATTTCATCTTTAGTACAAGCAACGTCAGTAACACGACGTAAATCTGTGACAATGGATGTTATAGCAATAGTTTGTGGATTTACTACATATATAATATCATCACTATATGTAACTAATAAATCATCACAAAAAGGTAAAATAACACCAAATGTAGGTTCACCACGATTTTTTTTACAACTTTCTGGTGCTGGATTTAAAAGTTCTACTTCTGTATGTCCAGATCGAACAGCATCCTTAAAAATAAGTGTTTTTAGGACAGTCCCAGTTTTATCAGCTTGCCATAGACGTAATCCAGGCCTACTTGCATATATTATTAAATCTTGTACATAATTTTGTTTACAACCAAATACAGCACCTAATTTACCCAATCTAAAATATATATATATATATTATTTATTTTTTTTCATTTATAATAATAATAATAATAATAATTCATTAAATATTTTATATTAATTCAATCTTTTTTTACTAACGTTTTACGTTCTTTCTGACCAACTTGTGTTACTTTTCCATTCTCATTTCTATTTACCAATATTGTACGTAATGTTGTAGAAACTAGTAATAAACCTTGTTGATAACTTAACTGTACTACTGTATATTTTTCATTTAACAATTCTGATGATTTTGATAAATGCTACAAAATATTTATAAGAGAAAGATATAAAAAATAATAAACAAAATTATATTATTTCATGTATTACATACCATATAAAAATAACATTAATATTAATTACATACCATATAAAAATCAATTTCAGTAAGTACAACTAAACCATCTTGATCTCCACTAAATAATTTCATACCATTCTTAGACCATTCAACTGTTGTTACAGCACTATTATGTAAACCACTTATGCTATATCTTTCTACCTGTTTCTTCTGTTTTGGTTTCAAACTATCTGGTAATGAATCTGGAGGATTTTTAGGTATTTGAAATACAGTTACCACTCCATGTTCATTACCAGCAGCAACCATATAGTCCACAGTTGATATTACTTGGATACATGTAATTTTTGAATTAACATTCTATAAAAACAAAAATGTCTTAAATATAAAATCATTAATTAATTAAGAATAGGTATATTATGTATGTTACCTCACATCGAAGTCTTTGTAAATCTTGCTTTTCTCTATCAAACCAATATACTAATCCATAATTAGTTCCAATAGCTATAAATTCAGGCACTGCATCAATACAAGTAAAGTTAATATTATGTGTAAAAAGTCCAGTTTGAATTTTAGCAGGTATTTGTTGAAGAAGCAGAGCAAGAGGTGCCCATTCTCGTAAAGTTCCACCATCTTCACACATAGGTGTTGTCATTGTAAATATATGCTATATTTATATAAAATTATATTTAATTTATATTATTAAACAAGTATTTATATAATTTTATAAATTAAATTATAAGTAATATAGATAATTTTTTTATTAATTTTTTATTAATTAATAATATAAAAATTAATAATAATCACATAAATAACTATACATAATCTATAATCTTTCATATAAAATTATATTATATGCATAATTATTATTAATGATAAACTACATATATTATTTTATTAATATTGTGAAAGTGAACATATATAAAATTAATATTATGTTATCATAATAAATATGTTATATGACATATCAATTTACCTTCTTACAAAATTAATATAATTACAGAAAATATTACAGTAATTAAATCATATTTTTTTTATCGTATTATATATAAGAATAATATTTTATCAAACATTTTAACATTCCAATTACTATTTCATATTTCGGCAATTTATGTCAAAATTACAGTGCACGCCTTTAGATACCATAAACCACGTCACGTCTATAGAACAGACACGACGATAACAAAATTTGTATTTTCTAGATTTATTTTAATGATTAATATTAGTTAAATATGAAATTAATTGATTTAATAAATTTTTAATTATATTATGTTTATACACTATTATAATTAATAATATTAGTATTTAAATATTTATTTTAAATATTATCAAATATTAAATTAATATCTTAGAAATAAAAATTTAATAATATATATTTAATATATAATCTATCTAATATATAATCTATAGCATATATATATATATATATATCAGAACTTTTTGATAATTATCTTTTTCTATGCATATGAATTAAATTTCAATTTTATATATACCTATATAAACAAAAATTTACATTTGTGAAAAACTATAATATAATTATAAATGTAATATTGTTTTTTTATCAAAAACATACTACCAATGTACTTGCATTCAGGATGTAAATAAAAATATTATAAAATGTACTATATCTAGTATATATATATATATATATATATATAATATAACAAAAATAAAATGAGGAAAAATATAAAATATAATTTTTTATTAAATTACAATAGAATAAAAACAAAGTTTTTAAAAATAATATTTCAAAATTCAATTTGAATAACTATTATATATATAATATTATTGTTGTAATAATTCAAAACTGAAAAATAAATTTCTATATAGAAAAATTATAAAACAATAGTATTTATATTTTAATTAAGACTATTAGGAACTAACATATTTTATAAAATTGTTATGCATATTTATTTACTATATTAATATACAAAAAAGATATATTTCATGATTCCATATTCCGACATCGAATTTCAAAGCTGGTAGATTAAAGAAATCGATAATATTCAAATTTATTTCTATACGATCAATAAATGTCAAAATTAGAAATATATAATGTTTTTATATTGTTTTTTTTTATAAATAATATACATATAGAAAAAAAAAT